GGGGCTGTGTAGGGTTTCTCAGCATCAGAGGTTGCATATTTGGAGGAAAAGGTTCTCTTGTTAGGATTGTTTGCCTTGTTAAATTGGCTGTCATTTATAAGAACATTATCCCACCTGTAAATCCATTTTCTAAAATACTGCATGTTCTAATCTACCCATAACCACAGAATGTGAGAATGGTTTGGAGGTGGCCTTAAACATCATCTAGTTCCAACCCCAACGATCAGATTCATCTGTTCACTGCACCCTTTCTCCTTTTATAGAAGAGTTGGTTACCAGCAGGCAGAGGGGTTTGCAAAAGGAAGTAAAAAGACTTGCAAAACCCAGAACTTCCTCTGTGACTACCTAAGGACTCTGTTCGGGTGAGAATCAGACTTTCTTTTACCCTTATATGGCAATCCCACAAAACCCCAAAGGCAAATCAGGTGAGAAGCTGTGAAGATACAGCTCCTACAGCAGCCAGTTACAGGCAGAGCTGAGCAACATAAAAAAGGCCCCAGGGGTAGGTTTGGACTATACCTTTTAAAGTCAAAAGGAATTTTGTGCTGAGGTCACCCTACAGATGATCAGTGGGTTGAGCCTACAACTACTTTCATCAAATGACATTATTGCAGGATTTCACTGTGACTGCAGATGGCTTGTGAAGCTTCATGTCTCCATCAAACAGGAAATACAGAGCCTAATGGCATTAAAAGAGGTGAAATTACTTTTGTGTACACTAGACCCTAAAACATGGATAAGGGTCTTTTATAAATTAACTCTTTAAACTCAAATGCGACCTCTTTTGCAAAGGCCGGAGTTCTGCAATATAATGAAATGCTGAGTAATAACGGAAGTGAAAAGCATCAGATGTGTTTCCTCCTTGTGACTTACAGCAGTGCTTATCTACACTCCAGGCTGCAAGAGCCTTCAACCTGATGGCTTCTTTTGACCTTTAATCCCAATCTCCCTTTCCCAGAAGGTGAATATACCCCCAAAATACCCTGCTGAAAAGTGCCTCCGGTGTGATATCACCGTTTCTGGAGTTCTGATGCCTGTGGCTGAGGGCTGGAGTTCTGCTCATTGCATGTGTGAACGCAGCTAGTTAGTTAAAAGCTCTTTGGAACAGAAATCCTGTCTCTGTCTGCACAGTCTTTGGCACAGCAGGGTCCCTTTCTCAGCTGGCCTTCAGTGAAACTCAGTTCGAGGCATGAATCACATCAAAGGTGAATCAGAACGATTCTGAGTCACTGACACCAGAGAGTAACAACTTTAACATATGTATACAAGACTAATGAGCAGCAAAATTTCTCTGTTCCAACTCAAGAGAGGAGAAAAAATAATTCTAAAGAAACTAAAAGACAACTGAGGTAAAACAGATGTGCTTAATATAAACGCACAGCTGCTTAGCTCATCATTTACATTCTATTTTGTTACCTCAAAATAATTTATTTTAACTGAAGGAGCCTTACCTGAACTGAGAGACTTGAACTGAAATGAGGATTAACTGGAACTAAAGTAATCTAAATTTTCTGTGGTCTTGGTAAACTAATAAAACCAAATCTACTCCATTTTAAAGTCAATAAGTATATAGTCTTTTAAATAAACAGTTCGGGGGGTTGTGGTTTTGTTTTTTGCACTCTGCAATCAAACACACGTCTAACACCAGTTCAAAATTAGCCACAATTGTTTACAGAACCTTCTTGTGGTTTTTTCCCCTCTTTTTTTTATACACCAACATATTTCTGATTGTCCTTAAAAGGCATCTTAGTGTATCCTCTCTTTCTTACTGGTAGAAACAAAGCACTCGAGACGCTTAAGCAGCTCTGCTTAGTGGCTGAAAATACACGAGGAAGTGACGACTCATTTAAGGAGCGCTGCGAATTGCCGCCCGAATGCACCACGTTTCCAGCTTGACTTTTTACACTCTCGGTGCAAAAAAAAAAAAAAAAAAAAAAAAGGCGTTGAAAGGGTGTTTAGCCTCTGACCTGGAAATTCCCCCGCAGCAGGAGCATAATCTGTGCGATTTAGTGTGAGTATCTTGTGGCTTTAAGAGCTGGCTGCCCTGCAGTTTACAGCTAATGTCACAGGCAAGTGACAAAACGCCATCCAGGAGCAGCAGGAAGCTCGGGTTAGACGACGGGCAGGGCAAACAAACCCACAGATCACAGTCAGCTCTGTGACAAACGGGCAAAGCTCGAACAAAAGAGGATAAATGTGAGCTAAGCCAGGCCAGGTGCCTTTCTGTAGCTTTTGACTGATTCTAAGCCCAGTAGGTGGAGAAAAAGGGTCATGAAATCATCATTTGTTTGAGAAGATGGTACTGGTCAATCAGAATTAGCTGGCTGGTAGCCAGTGCAAGGTCAGCAAGACTAGAATCTCTAGTCTTGTATTTCCAGACTGAAGAGAGGTCCTACAGAAAGAGATAAAATATGAAACACAACCAGTAAAACAAACAGATGTAAAAATCCAATTACATGTGAAGGAATACATCCACTGAAACACTAACCTTTAAAAACAAATTAAAGAAGAAAAAGTTAACTTGAACGAAAAAATTAGTTTTTCTCATTCTGCATGTTTCACTGTTTTTCTTGCATCAACTGGAAATTCTTTAACACTGTTGGAAACCAAACACACTTTGGATTTTTTCCAGAACCTGCTCATGTAGCCCAGGGAGGGACTTCCACCAAGAACCGAGTTTTGTCCTCACGGTCATTATGTAGGATTAACAGGAAAGGGATGAACTAATTAATTACACAAGGTTTTACTTCCAGCACAGAGTGTGTAAACGGGGGAATCCAAAGGCACTTGGAGGGATGTTGAAGCCCGCAGTGTGGGCTCCACTGAGAACTTCCTAAACATGCGATGCCATCGTGTGGACAAAGACATCTCCAGCACTTTCCAGAGGAATGTCACTGAATCCTAACATGTTTTGAGCTATTTTGAGTTAAAATGGTCATCTCGACCCTGCTATGGGCAGTGACACCTTCCACTAGCCCAGATTGTGTTCACATCGTATAAACATGACATTAATTCCTTCGTTTTTACTTGCTACGCCCTGACCCTGCTGACAGGAGCTGGGTAACTCCTGTTCCTCTAGTGGTGATCAGAGGGAATCTGAAACAGCATCCACCCTGGAATTCTGGTCAATCTGTTTCTAAGTCTGAGCTGGCAACAAGGACACCGACTATTCTACAGGTTTTTATGAAATTTTGCATCCGTGAAGGTTAAAAAGCATGCCACAATTAAAAAGTGTGGTTTAACTTTATCAAGGTTTTTACTCATTCTTGCATTCTTGGAGCTCTGCCATGGTTAGTACAGACAGAATCACAAATTGGGTTGGAAAGGACCTTAAAGCTCATCTCATTCCAACCCCTGCCACGGGCAGGAACATCTTCCACAATCCCAGCGTGCTCCAAGCTCCATCCAACCTTGGTCTTGAAAACTTCCAAGGATGGGACATTAATAACATCTCTGAGAAACTATTTTTTTCCCTCCTAAATTTTCCTCTTTTGTACATTTCTGCTTTCTGCTGAAAACACACTGATCAGACTATAATTAAAAGTGAAATGCCAAAGCTGCTAACCTGTTCCACGGTACCTCATTGCAGGAACACTGACAACACCAGATTTTGGGAATTTTCCCACCTCCCCCCATCTGGAAGGAGAAGGAGGCTTCACACTGAGCTCAGTCTGCAAGAAAATCAACCAGAGTCAGCCAAAGCATGGACAAAAATGGTGTCACTGCTATGAATGTGAAGGCCTTGGTGTGCTGCAGGAACCAAACCCTGTGGCTGAAAGAACAAGGGGAATAATGCAAATGGGATGAAAAATTGACAACCTGGAAGAAAAAAAAACAAAAAAACAAAAAAAAAAAACAAAAAAAAGAAAAAGAGGAGTTGTGGGAGCAGAGCTTTGCAGCCAGTGAGGTTAGAATTTTTCTCCCAAGTATTCACATGTGTGACTGAAGGGATGGCCAGTCCCTGTCACCTTGCATTTATCCCTTAGCCCATGTACAACATTTTTACCTCTCAGCCTCAGACCAGCCTGACTTTGGCAGTCAGGAGACAGAAACCCAACCTATTCATTGAGAAATTGTTGTGCTTTCCCTTTGCTCCCCATTGCCATTGAAATTCACCAGAGCCTGCGTGTTTACCCTGAAAGTGACCTGTGTGTGTGTATTTGTTACACACACGCACACCCAGCTCTTCCCTTCCCAAAATTGCTTCCAGCACAGATCAGGGCCAGCAACATCTTCTCCCACACACCTTTCTGGGACTTCCCAGGACACTTTTTGGGATGCTTTTTTAAAACACTTCAGCACAGGACACCTCAGCCTGATAGGAGTTGCAGGGGTTATCACTGTGTCCCAGCTTTGAATTTTTACTCTTTTTAAAACACGTTTTAGGGCCAGGGAGGCTGAGGGGAAAGGGATGCCTCAGGAAGATGGGTCTCCTCAGGGAAAAGGGTTCCTGGAAAAGCAGGGTGTCCTCAGGGAGGACGGTTCCCTAAAGGAGAGTCTCTCTAGGGAAAAGGGTCCCCTCAGGGTGGATGGTCCCCTCAAAACGGAGACCTTCCTCAAGGCGGAGGGTTCCCTCAAAAAGGAGGGAAGGGTCCGCTCAAAAAGGAGGCTTTCCTCAGGGAGAAGCGTTCCCTTAGAGAGAAGGGTCTCCTCAAGGCTGAGGAACCCCTCATGGAGACGCTCTCGGGCCGCCTCCTCACCGCCTTCCACTGCGGCCCTGCACCGCCCGTCTGGCCCCTCCGGATCGCGGCGACAACACCGCTGCTCCCGCCTTTCCCGGCTTCCCTCCATCCCTTCCCTGCCTTCCTCCACTTCCTCCATCCCTTCCCTGCCTTCCTCCTCTTCATCCCTTCCCTGCCGTCCCTGCCTGCCTCGCTCCGCCCGTTCCTCCCCGTGGCCGAGGGCCGGCCCCGCGCTCCGCCCCGGCCGGGCGGGCGGAGGTGCCGGATGGCGCCGGCCGGGCCGGGCCCGGTGTCAAGCGCGGGTCCATCGGGGCCATCATCGGGGCCGGGTCGGTGTCACAGCCCAGGGACCATCGGGGCCGGGTCAGTGTCGCATCCCGGGGTCCATCAGGGACCATCAGGGGCTATCGGGGCCAGGCCGGTGTCACAGCCCGAGGGCCATCAGGGGCTATCGGGGGCCATCGGGGCCCGCCCTGCCGGTAAGCGAGAGGCGGGCAGGGGGCTCTGGCCAGCCTCAGTCCCCGCCTGGCAGCGGCATGGGGCGGGCAGGGGGCTGTGCCCAGCCTCGGTCCCCGCCTGGCAGCAGGACGGGGAGGGCGGCGCTGCCGGCGGCTGCGGAGGGACGGGCAGGGCTGAGCTGGGCTGGGCACACCGGGAATAAACGTGTCACGGACCCCAGCGGTTCGCTGCTTAAATCAACAACATCTCCTCGGTCTGTCTTTGTAGATTACAGTGGTTTTCCATTCACCCCTCGGTGTTTACCCCACGATCGGCATCTTCCTCAGGCAAAACAAGGCTTTAGGCCTGAAGGTGAAGCAGCCACAACCCGGCCTCTTGTTTACTGTAAATAAAGTTACAAAAAAAAAATACTGCACTGGGCTCAACGTTGTGTCCTTCGGAGGCGGCTGAAGGGCTGCATGATGGGCTTGTCTACAAAAGAGAGATGTCAGGAAGGACATGGAATTTGCAGAAAAAAAATACTACAAAATTATCTTTTTATTCCATATCTGATCTTTTCCATTTTGTTACCCCAGACTTGTGTCTTCCCCAGACAGATGGGAAGGCTGTTGGCGGTGCTGGCTGTCACTGTGGCCATGGTGGAATTTGGGGTTTCAGGTGCTGTTAGGTCTGTGCTGTGCTGTGCTGCTGCAGGGAGAAAGGCAGAGCACATGGCCCAGACAACACTAAAAATTGAGTCTCTGTAGTGCAGTGACTCCTGGGACATTGAGAGAAATAGTTGTAGCACTAAAAGTGTAAAGCAAAAAAACCCCAAACCAACCCCACACCACCAACTTTAATTCTGTGGGTATCAACACCCAGTGATTGATTTATTGGTTTCTTATGAATCTGTGTTTTTAATGGGTCTTGAGTTGTGTTCCTAAATGTTTTTGTTGCTTTGTTTCAAATTATTTTTATAGTCGTTGATAAAAAACCACACTCTCATGTGATTTTCAGACTTTGCAGTGATGGTGTTTTAGTGCCACATCATATTGGCAGACTTAGGTTCACTCCATTAATGCACCAGGAAGATGCAGCATAATCTGTCATAACTAATCCATGATCAGATTTTTCCCTTCATGTTAGGGATGTATTCCAGCTGTCAAACTCACGGTCACTTTGTGTAAACTAATGTAACCATTAGATTATATTGGTTTTTCCATTTGATAGAGACTTGACTGAGGTTTGCATTGGTGGCCAGGGTGGTTTTAGCCAGGAGCTGTCACTCTGTCAGCTTTTAAAGCACAGTTACTGTTTACAGGTCTTCTCCACGTTCATTAAGCCTTGGTGAATACAGAGACTAAACAGTAGTTTTAATAATTTCCTGTAAGGCTGCTAATTTACTCTTGTAAAGCTTGCACCAGTTGTTAGTCTGTTTGATGTATCTTTCATGCCCCTTGTGATACTTTTCTGTGTTTAATGTTTCTTTTGATTTTTTTTTTTTCATTGCTTCAGGTTGAAAAGATGGGGAATTCTGAAAGCAATGCCTATCAGAATCACCTTTCCAGATTTCTTCCTGAGGAGCAGTCTGACATTGATGGACTATTCGAGACCTTATCAGGATCGAGTGGCTCAGCTGGAGCAAAAAATGTCAAACCTGCAAAGAAAACTATGAGTCTGGCAGCACTACAGGCAAGACAATCTCTTATTCATGATATATCTGAGTTGTAGTGCATTGAACAGAATTCCAGAAATAAGCTATAAAGATGTGGTGTTTTTTAATTGCTCATCTCAATTTAATTTTTCATATTTTGGTACAGGACAGATATTTAACTTTTTCTTGCAGTTTAACCAGAGTAGTGACTTTCAGGTTTGCATTAATCTCTTACATTGCTCTTTTGGGTCCATTTGCAGCTTTCCTGATTCTGAAGTAAGTTGAGGTGTATGGAAATATTTTCACAGAGACCTGAAAAATGGGAAGAATATTTTTACCCCTGGAATCTGTAGTGTGGGATCATTTACAGATTGTCTTGAGAAGCTGTCACAAAGTCAGTTTTTACTTGGTTATGCCTGTCTCCCTCAACATATCACTGTCTCTAATCACTTGTACTAAAAGGAGAGAATTCAATTTGACTTGATTAAGCTGTGGCTCCCTGTTTTAGCTAATTAACATGCGTTATGCTTCTGATTAACTTTGCATTCATTTTCTAATCAAGAAAAGAGAAAAATGAGTCATTGGGATGCTTAATAACTTCAGCTAGTCAGGAACTAAGTGGCCAAATGAATGTAGTGGTAAAGTGCAGTTTTATATCTATTACACAGATAATGGAATCAAATTAAAACTCATTGAAAGCAGCAGGTTATTTTAAGGTGTTCAGCAATGCCTGTGCATACAGACCAGCTTCAGCCTTCCTGCAGCCTGGCTGTTTGTGAGCTCTCACCAATTTTTGGAGCACCAAGTTTGGAAATGATATTCCTGCTGTCTGGTTTTTCAGCACTAATTCATCCAGTGTCCTTGGGTGCCTGTTAATTGTTTGGGACCTCTTTCTAGCTTTGCTCTAGATCAGTGTGAGCTTTGGTGAACATTTATCTTTTCCCTTCCTGCCTTTTTGTTGGCCAGCTTAAATTAAAATCTTTTGGAAGACTTCCTGTAGGTGCAGGGAGAATGGCAATGGCATTTCTGCCTTATAGGTGACAATGCTCATGGCTGGACTGAGATGTGACAGATTTGATCCAACAACAATCAGGCACCACTGGTGAAGCCCCAGGCATCCTGTGCTCTGCTTAGGTTACACATCTGGGCCAGGACAGGCTGCACTGCATAGCTTGGGAAGCAGGTAGAGCAGCAACTTCTTGATAATTTCATGAAACCTTTTTACAACAAGAGTTCTGAGCTGTCAGAGGTGTGAATTAGATGGTTATTAAGGATTCCTTTTTTACACACCTCATTTCTTCACACCCCAGGTCCACTCTTTGGAATAGCTAGAAGCAAAATGAAACAGCACGGTGAAGTGGTGGGATTAGGCAGGGAGTAGGTAGGTAATTCAGCAGAGTGAAGTAAAAAACCCTTGAGGATAATGTTTTAGTTGTGTTCCCTGCTGCCTCTCCCACTTCAGGCTCATGCAGGATTTTTAGAAAGCCTCTCAAAGCCAGCTGTACCCCCTGTGAGCATCCCTCCCTCGCTGTGGAGCACTCTGCTGTGAAAGGCTGTGGCTGCTATTTCTGCTGCTGCTGGGATCAATGGGAGCTGTGGCACTGACGTCAGTGCAAGCAGCACAGAGCTCAGGATATTGGATCTCTCATGCCCAGCAACAGCATTAACAACATTAACAGCAAATGGGAGCAGCCCAGGTGGCTTCCCAAGAGTGGTATTGAGCCAGCAATCAGTGATAGCAGCTCCCCTGAGTGCAGCTGCAGTTGGGCTTTTAGGCAGGTGGGGCTCCAGTGATTTCAGCACAGTCCCCACTGAGCTACACCCCCTGTGGAAGAGTCAAGGCAGGTCTTCAGCACAGTGAGGACACTGGGTAATCACATCCTCCTGTATGCATGTATTTGAGATCATTTATTTTTAAACTGTGTCATTATCTTGAACACTCTGAAAGTTGAATCCAGAGTCAGATCTTTCCCACAGGGCTGTGATGAATGATGATATGTTTCTAGGTAGATTTCAATTCCAAGGGCCAAGTATGCAATTCTGATTTTGACTCTCTTAACACCAGGGATGCTTTTTAAAAATCAAGTGATCTGTGCTTCAATGAGTTGCTTTGCAGGGTGAAATTTTCCAGGAATGTTTCTACACGTGTGTGTGTGGGGTTAAACACTGCCTTGAGGACAAAACTGAGATATGGAAAACACTCCACTTTGTTTTTAAGTGAGCCACACTATTGAAAGCAGAATTTAAACACAATTTTGAATATTTTACTGGCAGAGCTGTAAACCTTTGCACCAGAGTTATCACCTAGAAACCCTTTGCTAATATCCTATTAAGACTTCACAGTGTTGATTTTTCTGAAGTCCTTGGCACTTCTGGAAAAACAGTACCAACCTAAATAACTAAAAAATCACTATAAAAATACAGATTTTTAGTTTTTTCTCTTGGCAAAGCAGTTCTTTGACAAAAGTTTATTGCTGATACTACGGACTGTATGTCAGCACAGATTAGCTGGAGTACATCAGTTACTTTTGATTTGTAAAATGTGCTCTTTGCTGTTTCTCTCACTGCAGGCACACACCCGGGAGCCCCTGCCAGAGCCCATGACTGCTCGGTTGTACAATGGAATGAAAAGCATTGACCTGCCTGGCAAATCATCCGGGCTGAGTGAACAGATTGCTAAAGAGCAGTTTGTAATTTTTATGTCAAACCTCTTAAAAGGGAATGCAGATGAGAAGATTAGCATAATAATGAGAATGATCGCCAAGACAGGAGGGCCTCTGAAAGGCAAACAAATTCTAGAGGTAAACGAGCAGTTAAATGTGTGTTGGGGGGACAGTAGGAGAGCAGGGCTATAGTTAAGGGCCAGCAAGGGCTGTGGTGTGGCTGGTACTTCTAGGAACTGAGTAAAATGCTTTCTAGAACTTTAGTTGCAGGATCAGCTATGTAGCTTTTGAGATATCACAGAACAGTAATTCAGTAGCAGCTCCTACACTGCAAAACTTGACCCTTCCCTCCCTCTTTTATTCCCGGTGTTATGGAGGTGCTTTGTGAAGTAAGATGTATAAAATATCTTGAAAAAGGATTCTTTTCAAGGCCTATGACACCGAAATAGCATTTCTGTAGTTCCTGACTTGTCATGGCAAGAGATGTTTCTGCCTTTGGGATTACAGCATCACTACTGCTTGACTTTATCTTCAGATAGTCCTTTGAAGTTCTTGGAAATTCCACTTAAGAAATACCAAAATGGTGATGTTTTAATCTTTTAAGTTCATAGAGGATCTGATCACGTCTGTAGTCCATGTACTGAGCTACAGGAAGGAGCTGAAAGGTTGGACTTTGGAGAATACGAGGGATTCTTCAAGTGGAGTCAAAGCTTTAGCTTCTGAGCTGCTCTCAGAATTGAGGCTTCCAGGTAAGCAGCCCTCACTCAGCACATCCTACAGCTTGTGCAGTCACTGGCCTCATGAGAATTTCTCTCTTTAGGTCACATCTTTGAAGTTAAAGGGTGAGACCAAAATTTCAAATCTGGTGCTTAGAAAATGACATTGGAATTTTTTTTATTCCAAAATTTATTTTATTTATTTAAACTGAAGTTCCAGTTTGTCTTGGAACATGTCTATTTTACAAATACCTGACTTGAAAATGATAGAAATGGGCATCTAAATAATATTTATTTAAATGAAATTTATAATGTATTTTTTACTATGTCCTTTTATAAGGCATAGGTCTATCTTTGCACTTTGCTGTCTTGTAAAGAACATTTCATGAGCTGTAGCTTGGAGTCTGTTTCTAAATCATGACAGCCCAATCAAAGAATGCCACAGGTAAAGATTTCTCAGTTCTGTGGTTGCATTTGCTTAATGTAGTTGACAGTTTAATGTTGCTGACTCCTTTAATGTGTGGTTTTCAAGTTCATTACAACAATGGAATATTTTGTTTACACTTAAAAAATCACTGATTATTTTCCAGACGGGGAGACTTACTCCTGTTCCTGTGTGTCTTATTCTTTAGATGGGACAAAACCCACGGGTTCTCAGCTGCTGGAGACAAATTTTGACCAAGGTGTCATTGAGGATTGGGTGTACCGAGTTCCCCAGATCTCAGTTTTCCTCAGTGTCGTCATCAGGCAAGGCCTCCACGTCCTGCATTCCCTCCCAGACCAAACCAACGACATCCTCAACCTGGTTCCTCACTGCAAAGGCATCAAAGGACGAGGAGTTGTCAGTCTCTTTGACATCCCAGCCATCATCTACATCAACTCCCACCTGCCTGCAGAGATGCAGCACAAGTGGCAGCTTTTATTTTCCTCCAGGCTCCACGGGGAAAGCTTCTCACAGTTGTGTGCCCATATAGTGAACAAAGGTCCTTGCATAGTGATCATAAGGGACTTGGATGGTTTCCTCTTTGGTGGGTTTGCATCTCACTCCTGGGAAGTGAAGCCACAGTTTCAAGGTAAAACTCACTTTCCTTTCTTTGGTATCTCTGGTAAATTCCGTTTTGTACACAAGCACACACAGTATGCCCTTAATGGATACTGTCCCTTTAATGACACAGAGCGTTTCTTACACTTCCAAGTGACTTTCACTGTGGCAAAAATAACACTAATTTTCAAAGAATATAAAACAGATGCAAAGTTATTCTTAGTATGGCAGTCAGGCGTGTTGCTGATTAATATTTATAGTTTGTTATTTGATAAGGCTTTTAAAATTGCAGGACTTATTGACCACAGAACAAGTTTTCAAGGAAAACTATCAAGCCCTGTAGCTGCTTAGGTTGAAAATTAAATGAAAATTAATGAAGTAGAGCACAGATTATGAATTGGTGTGTAAATAATTTGTCCACAGGATGGCAGTCCTCCATCAGGAACACCTGAGCCTCCTCTTGCCATTTGTGCACTGTTTTTGTTTCCCTTCTAAAATCCAGCAGCCAGAGGATTCTTTGGACAAGCTAAACTTCTTGTTCCCATAAGACTTTGGGAGAGAAGAGAGGGTTTTTGAAGAACTCTTTGGGGAAGAATGTTTGTGATGGATTTGTGAAGAAAAAAGCATTGCCTGTGGATGTTGCTGGGAATCCTCATTCTGGCTACATTAGAAACTCAATTCATGTCCTAAATGAGTATTTGAAAATTACCACTTCAGACAGTTGGTGTAATATTATTTCACACTGATTACAATTCCCTTTCCATGTATTTGTTCCTGCTAGAGAAGCATGTAAAGCATACAGGGCAAGCACACCACAGGTGCCTCTGAATCCTGAACTGGGCATGGTAAAATGGCTCTGAATCATCGACTCTGAACTGATTTATGTAACAATGTAGTCAGAACTGGGGATGTCTGCATTCACACCAGTTTGTCCAGATCTGTCAGCTGGCCAGTTTGAGGTGATATAATACAGTCTGGGGTAGGTGACATAGTGACATAATGTCCTAGTGGTGCCTCTGACTCTGCCCTTGATCACAGCCTGTAATTGCATTGACTTTTGTGACTGCACAGAGTTCACTGAGAATAAAAAATAGATCTAAATCTTGATGGGAGATCTCCCAGCTTTCTGAGATGGCAACTGCTGTCTTTGAATTATTCAGCTTAAATGATTTCTTCTAATTTATTTGTAGGCAAGTTATTGCTTGACCTCTTGTCTGATCTGAGGTGCTTCTCTGTTTGCAGGTGACAACAGATGCTTTCTGTTTTCTGTTTTCCCCACTCTGGCTGTATACACATACACAGGGTACAATGACCACTACATGTATTTAAACCATGGCCAACAGACTATGCCAAATGGACTTGTAAGTATTCAGAAATGATGATTTGGAAATCGGATTTGTGGCTGGCACTTGGAAGTGTTCTGTGGTTTTTTTTTTTTTTTCTTTCTGAGAGTAGATTTATTTCACTTGTTACTCTCTGAGGGAATAAATGTGATCTGTGTCATTGGGGATTCTTCCACTGGCTGCTCTCCCTGCCACACCAACTGCTTTTGGAATTATGGGGGAGAAAGCCCAGCAGAATGAGAGTGCAGATATTGCAAGTAGCTGCTGCTGCTGTGTGATGACAGACACATGAGCTCCTCTTACTCAAGTTCACAAATGCAGAGGAGTTATTACAGAGCTACAGCACACCACCTGTCTTGGAAATGCTTTACAGTTTTGGAGCATTATGTGCCCATAGCCTTGGGAATTGCAGCGGGCTGGAATTAACTTGTTCTAGAGAAAGTGAACAACATCAGATTACATTGTTGGTTTCTGTAGATACTTTACTAAATGGAAAGGAGGCAGCAAACCTGAGCACTGCCACTCTGTTTGGAATGGAACTGCTAATAAACAAAATCCAGGAGCTTAATTTCTGCCAAAAGTCACGGGTATTTGTATTCTTTGAAGCACAGAGGTAGGGCAGTATCACTCAGGTAAATTTTTAGTTGTATTCAGGAATAATAGATGTGGGTACAGAGGCCCAGCTTCACTCAGAATCCCCTTTTTTCACCTACCCACAGAAATGTGGCATAAATACTGACCACAGCAGCTTATTCTCAGGTTTCCTAACTTTCCCAGTGTGCTTTCCCTGTGCAGGATGTGTTTAATGTGCTGGTTTTCTCCACAGGGTATGGGTGGACAGCACAGCTACTTCGGGCTCTGGATAGACAGTGACTATGGGAAGGGCCACAGCAAAGCCAAACCTCGGTGCACCACCTACAACAGCCCCCAGCTGTCAGCCAAAGAGGATTTTACACTGGATGCCATGGAAGTGTGGGCAGTGGGAGATGTCCCTGAGAGTGCAGGGGTAGGTGAAACTGTGAATTGAACCTGTGAGGTTGTGTCCTGGTTGGAACAGAAGGTGTGAATGCAAAACTCATGGTTGCAGTTTTCTGTTTCAACACTCTCTCTCCATTATAGTGAATAACATTTTCTTTACCTGTGGTGCCATGGGTTTTGTAGCATCAAATAGCAAAGCTGTAGTGGAATTATTGAGGGTGCCAACAAGAAAGAATTATCAGGAGCCATGAGGTGATAGAGTCAGAATAGCAGTACTGTGAATTTCAAAAGGCCTTTTCCATACTGAGGAATGGTCTCTGGGAGGAACCTCCTTGGAGGGGCTCAGTGAGACACGGAGTTTCTAAAAGCACTGGAAATTTTCAAGTAAAGTCTGATCTGTAGTTCAGGAAGAGATCCAAAATCTTTCTTTATCAATCACTTTAAATTTACTATTGTTTTACCATAAATTTATGTGAATATGTTTATGCTAATCTTTCTGCACTTAGTTTATTTTTAGGTATGAGCAGGAGCCTTCTCTCCAGCCTTCTCTATCCCTGCAATTTATTCTCTTATTAAACTGTCTGGTCTGTACAGTTTGGTGGGGTTTTAAAATTTATTTATTTTTAATTTTTACTTCTTTTCCTACTGAATTCATGTGCCCTGACTTCACTGAACACATAGCTCTAAGTAGAAGCTGAACAAACTGTTTACAGAAAGTGTTGAATTGTAACTGGATCTCTTCTTTAAAAACTCCACATCAGCACTTGAGACTGAGGTGGGGTTAACCAGGATGTCCTGGATGGCTTGTAACCTGAATAAACTTGAAATAGCTCACTGTCATCTTAGGAAAAGTTTATGGCTATTTTATGTAGCTGCAGCAGTAAAAACAATTTAATGTATTTGTGAATTTTGAAATTGCAAATGCATCTCCTCCATTGTGCCAAGCTTTGCAGACCACATCACTTACAGACTTTTGAGTGTGTCCCTTCCCTGTAGCCTGACACTGACATTTTAAACTGACTGTATTTTATTTTGTTTTGAAGAAAAAAGGTAAGAAGAGTATCCTGGATGTGGATCCTCAGGCTCAGGCCTTGTTAGAAATGGCTGGAAAAAGCCGTCAGAGCGAAGGGCTGCGGGAGCCCCTGGAAGAGGATGAAGAAGATGATGATGATGATGAGAACTAAAGGAGCCACAGCAACACGAAAAACCCTTACTTTTATTTGCTTCAAGTGGTGATGATGTCCCTTGGACAAGATATTTTTTTCCTTTTTTTTTCTCCCTTGAATGTACCTAATTGGGGCAAAGCTTAAGCCTTGTACTTGTGTAATATTTAGGTCTAAAGCACTGTTCTGCCTGAAGGGTTTTGTTTGGGGAGGACAGAAAAATTAACTGGGGACATAATCATTAGGCATGGCTGAGCTGTAGCTGAATATGAATCTGCTTTCGTTCCCCATAGATCACATCTGCACACTGAATTAAAAGCAGCAGAAGTTATTGACAGTATGGCTTTCTGTCCTGGAGAATTGATATGTACATAGTTATATATATTTATAAAGCCTGTTCAAGGCACTGATTCAAGCTCTTATACCTCAACTGCACATATTTATTTGCATGTAATGAAATTAGTCAGCAAAGCTTACAAACTGTAATGATGTCTTACACTGGTGAACATAGAATAGTCCACGTGGTGCCATATGAAGGATGCTATTAATTGGCATTGCTTCACTTAAAGCATTGGATTTCAAGCTTTTTAAGTCAGATTTTCAGCAGCTGATTCCATGTGAGCTGTAGGATGTCCAGAATAGTTAAACAGCAACAAAACCACTATCCCTAGTGCATCTGACTTCATCTGTTCTTGTCTCTTGCTTTTTAAACTTAGAGCAGAATCGTTGGAGCCATATTTATCCTAAAAATGAGCCATACCTCCAGCAGAATTCTCTAGAGAAGGTACATTCTTTAGTGGCCTCACAAGACTGGAGTAAAAGATCAGCTTGTAAAAAAGGCTTGGTAAAAAGCAGCCACATTTAATTGGGAATAGGATCTGCAGATACCTTGTGAAAGAAATAAAAATCAGGGTTATGTCTGTAAAATGTTTAAAGAAGATTGCTGTACACTTTATTTCCACATAATGAATTGTTACCTGTTATGGAAAAGAATCCCCACAATGTAAAATGCAGTTGTTGGGGTTTGTGACTGTTCACCAGTCAGCACCAGTTTTGTCAGGTCTCTAATACTCAGGACTTTTTCTACTTGAATTAGTTCCCATCTCTCAGAAATTTGTAGTTTGACCTTGCTAATTCTATGTGCAGTTAACTTGTCAAAAAGAACCCTGATTTCTGCCAGGGGCTGTGATTCCTAACTCAGCAACAAGTGTTTGGTTATCAGTGTCTCTGATTGTCAGTCTTTCTCCTCCTGAGGAAAGGGACTGTGTCCTTCCCCTGTGTCCTGGCATGAATTTGTCTTCTTTGCAGCTTAGAGAAAAAAAATAGAATTCTGTAAATTCTGCTCATGTGGCCTTCCTTAAAATTCTTTCCCTTGGTGTTTTCCTGTATGAGATCTTTTCCCCCCACCTGTTGTTTTTCATAGGGAGCCAGGTTTGAATATTCTGAACAATCTGCACTTGTGCCTTAACGTAGATCTCATTTTTAAAAATTACATTAAACAACATGAATTTAGCCTTGAAAAGAGAGCATGAAGAAATCACTCCAACCAGGCATCCTGGGACTCAAATGTGTGTTTTGTAGAGTACCTGAACTGATGCTTGGGGCATTTATATGCTGTTTGTTCCAGTACAGAGAGTGCTGTGAAAGGCCTGGGAGAATGTCCTTTTATGCTGTATTTGCTTAGAGAAACCAGATAATCTCCTAAATTTGTAACACACAGAAAAAAACCCCAAGCATCAGAACAATTGCACTGATACTTTTGTACAGTTTTGTTCTCTCTATATATTAATAATATTGAATTTTACAATGTAAGGAGCAGTAAGTACATGATGCAGTCTGTAAATGTGGTGATAGCAGCTTTTGTTTGAACATTCTCAAACTCCCACCACGAGTCTCAGAGATCTTTTTCACTTAGCAGTGACTAAGCCTATTAAACACTCCCATGTGGATGGCATACAGGATGAGACAGTTGAATTTCACCAGTTAAACATAAAATAAACAGCTAGACTTTATTTTCTTTCCATTACAAGGCAGAAGCTTGTTTTTGAGAACTGAAACCATCTGCAAGGGTATAAAGAAAGAAAAATTGAATTGTGCAAAGCTACTCTCCACCAAAAATATCAGTGGCCAGGTTTTCTTTGATTTTTAATGAGTATCAGTATAGCTGTTTCTTTCTAGACTGTGAATCCAAAATAAAACCTGTTTAAACTTCATCCTGTGACTATCAGCATTGTGACCTCTGAAATTGTAGTTTTTTGACAAGTTTGTGTCTGAGACTCTTCCTCTTTACTTTGAAGAATACTGACACTGGCACTTCAGCAAATACCTCAGTGAAATATTATTTACTAGGATGCCACTGATCCAACCAGCAGTTGCTATTATTCCAAATTGTTCTTTAAATATAAAAGATGGGCTTGGGAGAGACTCAGTTTTTCTTTTAACCTGAACCTAATGATTCAGAAATCTGGGCTTCATGCTCCTGCACTTAAAAACGTCCAGAAAGCTTTTGTGGGCAGTGGCTTAGCTGTGATCTGAACAGCTCAGTCCCTTTTGTGCAGTTTTGACCCAGCTGCAAAGCTCAGCATCCCTGCTCTGCTCCAGACTAATCCTTATCCTTAGGCTCTTGTGGAAGTGAGTCCTTTTCCCATTAAATCATCCACTGCTGAGCATTGGGTCTGATCAGCCTTCCCTTTTTCTCCTGTCGGTCACACACGTACAAAACTGACAGCTGAGGGTTGGCCCTTCAGTCCCTGCTCTGTTTGTTTCTGCTCTCCACACTTTCCTTAAAGTCTTGCTGAGTCAAGCCTGGATAGCTGGGAATCCACAAACACTACAGAGTGAAGGAAAAGAAATGCTTCAAGGTGGGTCTTTTCCACTCTCCTAATTAAACATTAAAGGATGTGTCTAAATCACGAGTCTCACTCAGATACTTGTCAGCAACGTTTTAAAATGTAGATTTTATTAATAAAAATGATTTTGATTTAAATAAATAAAATTTCAGTTTATGCACAATAGGTTTTTCTGTACAGGTGTGAAACTCTTTTGTCTGGGACTAGCACAGCCTTCTGGAATACAGATCAGTGTTATAAAAATATACCTGCTCTTGGTTTAAACCAGGAGCTACTCTGGAGGTTTCCAGCTCACGTGGAGTGGGTAGAAGAGTCTCTGGTGTAAGGACTGTTGGTACAGATGCACTTGAGTACCTTCAGGAAGGATGGATTGGGGTTATCCAGCATCACAGCTCCGTTCCAAGTGTGGTTTAGAGCAGTCTCAGTCAGTTGTGACATCCCTTTGTGTGCTTTGGGTGGCAGCAGCGCTTTTCACAGAGCTTGACGAGCTCGGACACGATGAACACTGAGGAAGCCAGGCCGGTGAGGAACAGCAGGTCTGGGAGAGCAGAGAGTGCAGCTGAGCTCAGCTGGGCAGGAATCCCAGCCCAGGGCCTTCCTGCAGCTGGGAATTGGGCTGGAGAACCCCTGGGTACGTGGCCTCGCTGTGCCCTTGCCAGCTGAGAATTAGGGACCCCACTGCAGCAGACAAGAGCCACCCACAGCTGGGACAGTCCCCTTGGAGGGTGGAAACAGGAATCATTTGGGATCCCTTCCCCCTGCTTAGGACAACAGGCTGATGTAGATGTAACACGGTGTGGTAGGGTGCAATTTGCCGATTTAAATTAAAATCTGTGTTGCATTTCAGCTGGGAAACTGAAGTTTAACCCAGCTCTTTCCACAGAGAGTGTCTGCATAATCCGAGAAATATCATCATACAGAGCCAGAAAACCTGGGCATGTCTCCATTTACTTGCATTTATGTGCAGTAAATTTCAGAATCTAAGCTGGGATAATATGAAATACTATCCTGTTTGGGCACAGCTCTGTAAATACACAGCGTCAGGAGCTGTGGTTGATTTCCCCTACCAGTGACATGTTGGGAGCTCACAGAGCAAACTGGGAATAGCATCTGCTTTCCAAAGTCACTTCAATGAAATACAAAACAAACCTTTATTTATTTTGCAACTTACCTAACACTCCTAAATTCTCTGTCTGGAAGATCTTTTGTAGTGGAGGGATGTAGATAACAGCCAGCTGTCCCAAAAACGACCCAAGCACGGAATACAGGAACATGCGGTTTCGGAAGAAGCCAATTTCAAATATCAACTTTGTCTAGAAAAGGGAGAAAAAAAATAAAAGTAACTTTTTCCAATCTCTGTTGGAGCTAAATGTCAACCTGTTTCTTTACATCTCATCTCCATTACTTTTTAAGTTACATAAACATTTAGAGCTGCGTCATTGAAAGTGTAGTTGCACTTGGACCTTGATGGACAATTTTATCTATATATAAAGTTGATAAAAATCATACTGCTTTAAATAACATTTAAAAAGCCCTTACTATGCAAAGTGCTGGTATTCTAATGTTTATGTTTGTGATTTGAGACAAGAAATTAGTGCTGACAGAGCCATCTCACCTGAGAGCGACATGTCAGGGCGTTGAAGAGGTCAAAAAACACAAAACAGGTAAAAGTCATCGTTGTGGTTCGGGGAGTTATGCCCCCTTTGGGATTCTGGAAGCACGCAAAAAAATCAGGGGTTAGTTTAACCTTACAAAAATATGCCAATTCAATAGAAGAATTAAATGTTCTCTTTAAATGAGCCCAGTCAAATCAAAGAGTAGTAAAACAAAGGAGTAAATCTAGTTCTAGCTATTATGTGTAGCATTCAGTTCTCTCTGCTAATTTTAAAGTTTATGATCTTATCAACTGTATTTTAAATTCTTAAACTGATGTGGGCTTTGAGTAAAGAACATTCTGAATTAACTTACTGAAACTTAAAGTACCAACAGCAATCCATTGTACTTGGCATTTTCTGCTGGGAAAATGGAAAGCTAGAGTTGAAAAGTCCCTTAAAGTACTGATGCCACATCAAGTAAGAGGTTTCCATTCTAGATTGGAAAGACCAAATTAGAGGTAGCAGAGGGAGGCAGGGGCAGAGCTGGGAGCTGACCCTGCTTTCTCAGCCCTCTGCCCACACTGATCCTTGCCCATGGGATGGATTCCAGAAAATCCTTCTCATGTCCTTCAGAAACTGCCCTCACTTTGTGCTCCACCCGCCCTGATGGAAACAAGATCTGAGTGCAGATCTCCCTCACCTCCTTCCAGAACACAAAGAGGGTTCCACTGATGATGATGAGTGCTGACATGAAGATTTTCAGGATCAGGGATTTGCTGAGGATGGTGTCTGTGATGCACCGGGGGGGCTGCTTGATGGTGTCCCTGTCAACAGGTTCAACCCCCAAGCTGCCTCCAAGAGAAGCAGAGAGATGTGTTAATTAATGCAGGAGGGCCCAAATTGGACATCCTGAGAAACCAGGATAGAGCTGGAGGATGCAATTCTTTGGAGTACAGCATGAATATTCAAGCAAGGTCACATAAGGCCCAAATTTCTCCATGACACTGATACCAAAGGTCTTTTCTGCATATTGAGCTGCTAAAATAATATTAGATCATCAGACCAGTGTCCCACCCCAGAGTGAGAGCCAACTGTGAGAGTGTGCATAATGTGCAAAATGTAACTATTTAGCTGTACTTGTAATTAGCAGTTGGATGAGGTTCCTAAGTCTTGTGATTTTGGGGCATATCCCTGCTATTCCCTGGCCATTCCACCAGCAGGTGATGCTTTCAGGATAAGAGGCCATTCCTAGCCACAGAATGGAATGGGTAAGTGATTCCACTGTAAAACAGGAAAATATAGAAAACCTCAAGTAAATGTGAAGTGCTTTTTGAAAGGGCAGGAGGGAACATAATAATATATAATAATATAATAAGTGCAGCTTATTGAACCACTGATGATGACTGCTGAGGAATCACAACAGTTTGTGTTCCTAGGCCTAATTCAGAGATGTTAAAGCCAAAATTATTTTGCTCACTGGACTCTTCCTCTTCCATACCTCTGTGCTGGTGGCCCATCCATGATGATGTTGATCCATAAGATCTGCATAGCATTGAGTGGATTTGGTAGGTTGAGCACAGTTGACAGGGTAATTAGGCTCAAAGCTGAAATACTCCTGCAAAGCACAGAACATTATTCTGCAGGGCCTCACCCCCAAGGTGCTTTCACAGGAGCTGAAGTGAACAGGAACTTACGTGCTCAACTGGAACCGGACAAAATTTTTTATGTTGTAAAATATTCCCTTTCCCTCTTCTATTGCATTCCTGGAAGGGAGAGAGGAGTTTATTAAGTCAAGAGCACTGTTTTACACTGAGCTCCCTGTGACACTCAAAACACAAATTGTCTTTGGTAGCCCTTATTTCAGTGGAAATTCAGAGCCCAGCTCAGGAGGAGGTTGTCAATGCAGCTTCTCATGTATAATTCTTTTATCAACGAGTAGATCTGCAAATCTGGGTCACATGGCCAGGTTTTGGTTCATAAAGCAGACCTGGGACCTATTTATACACTCACTGTACCCTGCCCACCCTCTCTCTTGTTATCAACCAACAGAGCATTGCAAATTCTGCTTTTCCTCTGAGCTTCCTGAGGCAGAGCATGAGGTACAATCATAAAAGTTGGAAAACTCCTCCAGGATCGTCGAGTCCAAATTTTGACCAACCAAAGCTCTGTTCTACCCAGAATTCTAGGTGCTCTCAGATGCCCAGTTAGTTACAGCAATGGGCTTTCAGGTGAAAGGTGGCTTGGTCAGCACCACTTGGAAGGAACAACACACACTTGCCATGTGTGCAGCTAAAGAGGAGCCAGAGCCACCCTGGGGCTCTCCACTTCCATTCCTCACACCACAGGCTTGCTGCACTGCACAGCCAGAAGACAGCCGAAGAGCAAGAAAGTCTCTAGACCTACATGACTTTTGAGAAGTCATCATCCACCAGGATCATGTTGGCAGCCTCTTTGCTGACGTCCGTGCCCGCCTGCCCCATGGCGATGCCGATATCCGCGGATTTCAGCGCCACGGCGTCGTTGACACCGTCCCCTGTCATGGACACCACGGCACCAGCCCTCTGCAAGGCCTGTGAGAGGGGACAGCCCTCGACATATCAAGCCAAGAACATAAACAAGCCACGTGGGCAATCCCA